TATATTATATATATATATATATATATATTATATATATATATATATATATATATATATATATATATATATATATATATATATATATATTATATATTATATATATATATATATATATATATATATATATATATATATATATATTATATATATATATATATCTTTATTATAAGTTATTATAAAACATGAGATTGCTACACAAAAGCTTTCGGGTTTCAATACTATGATTGTACTTGATAGTATTGAAACCTGAAAACTTTTGTGTAGTTATTTCAACATGTTTTTATGATAATCTCTTATAATAATAATTTACTCTACTTTGTATTGAGTACTTTTTAAAAAGTTAATACTATGAACAATGGAATTTTACTCCATCAGTTCTTTCTTTCATTTGAATATATATATATATATATATATATATATATATATATATATATATATATAATATAGGTGAGGACTGATTCCATCGATAAAAACATTATTAGGCTGAGGAAGTATTTCTGATATATCTTGTGTTTTTGATATAACAGAGGGAAATAGATAAGGAAGACAAACTCATAGGTAAGTAATGAAATAGAAGGTTGACTACATGAAGGTACACTTAGCAATTGACCTCATGCTAACTCAGCTCAACTCCACTTATTTCCATTTATTTATATCATATATGACACCTAGAAAGGAGTTTTTTCTATTTTGTCATTCAGTTACACACTATTAGTCTGATCTATAGATTGTTATATCTTACACAAACACACGCATATATATGTGTGATAAAAACATAGTTTTAAGGTATGCTATATTTATGTGTAAAAGTACTCAGTAGCAGAGATAGAGCATATTTAAAAATAAAAATAGATACCAAGTTCAACACCTAGTGACAACAGTCTGTTTCATGCTTGAACACAATCTTCAAGCCATTTGAAGCCTGAAGATTGCATTCAAGCATGAAACAGACTGGATCAAATGATGGTTTCTCCTACAAAGGGGGATGTAGATTCAATTCCTGTTGGAGAGCACATTTTCTTTATTAATTTTTCTGGAATGTACAGGCCAAAGGTCTGTCTGAAAATTTTGCAGCTATTTTGAATATCTCAAAAACTGGTTGTGTAGCCGTAATGTAATCACTCACAGGGGACCTTACTGCACATGCATGAACAGGAACAAATATCCTTGAGTCAGTCAGAGATACTTTTATATTATGTGATCATTGTTTTTACAGTGAATATGTATCAAATTTTACTTGTAACTTAAACGTTTGTCCATGGAAACCATTTGAATAATTAAGAAGGCTTTAAGATGGATGATTCAGTGATTGAAAGTCAAATAAAATTTTGGTAGTGGTGTTTTATTCATTCTTTAAATCTTTTACATGTATTTTGGCAAAGTATCACATCAACCAGGTCTGTCTTCCATGACAGTTTTTCTAAAGCTAAAATGGCCATTAAAAGAGCAGAAAACAGCTGATAGCAATCCCAAAAGGATTATGAGATAATTGTGTAAGGGGAGCTCTTAGCAGTGGACTAAGGCACCAGTGCCTTGGATAGAGTGTTTCATCATTAATATTAAATGGCTTGATAATTACATAACAGAATTCCTGTAACCCAGTACTTTGCAGCTACCGATTATAAATTGGTGGGATTTTATTTACAGCACCTTTTATCACACAAAATGATACAAGAAATTGATAATTGCTTTTACCTGCTGTTCATTTAAGAGATTTCAATCAAATTTATTTTATTTAAATCTTATTGTTATTTGTACTTGAGTTTTGCTATCAACCATTTGAAGTGATCAATATCCTTGTATTTTTCTTTTGCTAGGCAAAGGTATGACAGACTCTACCAAAGTTTACTCCATATTGTTAGATCCATTTCTGCTGCTACTTGGAATGAATTACATGGTCCTGTTTGTGATCCGGACATGTGTGTTTGATTGGGGTCAATTGTACTTGATCCATGAGAAACAATTGAGTACAATGACAAGTGAGTACAACTTTCCTCTTTTATTTCTCTACTAAAATGGCTACATTGAACTGATTGACTACTGATGGCATTCACTAAATTTATTTTTATTATAAGTATAAGGGACATATGGTTCAAAATGTTTTATTTATACTATTGCTCACTCAATAAAAGTCCTAAGAACCATTCAAATTAGAGAATTACTGAATGAGATTGTTGTAAGAGGTGCATAGTATGAGGATATGTAGGATAGATAACAGTTGACTTTAGACTTAAGCAGTTATTATTCTAGTGGTTGTGAAAGCATCCTCTCAGAGTTTGTTCCACAATGTAACAGTTCTGGAGAAGAAGCAGAGTGGAACTTTCTCCTTACTAATGGAGATACAAAGGGAATGTGGATAAGTCCATTCTATGTACATGTCATCACAGGTCCTAGCTATGATGGTTTTCACTAGGGAAACTAAGGAATGTAACTCACCTGAACATCTATCATGAAAATAGTGACAAAGTCACCAGAGTGTAACTTTCATCTTCAGTAATTCAAATATTTTTGTCATAAACAAAATTTAATAAAATTATGTTTAAAGTGTCAGTAAATGTGAACCTCCATGCCAAAAGGAAGGTTTTTTTCTTTGATACCGCTTTTTTAACTACTCTCATTCTTTGGCAATGTTTCAGTCAGTTATGTGCCATGTGTGATACATGCTTAGGTGATCATGTATCTTTCGATACATGACTGATGAGGCAGATTTTTTTTCATGCAGTAGGTTGCCATTTCTTTCTGCGGTAAACCAGTTGCCATCCATCTGTCTTGCTATTTGCCCATAGCTGGGTTAAGTAGAAGAAAATTCATACCTTTCCCAAGGATATTAGCATGTAAGTGAATGTAATGGATTCAACTGGAATTTGAACTCGGCTCTCCGATTCCTCAATCCAAGCCACTATCCATTACTGGCAATGTTTAATGTTTTAAAAAGTGATGATTAGAATTTTAATAAAACCTAAGCATAGGAAAGTGAATTTATACATTTTCGTTGTTCTTGAGAATTGACAACAGAAGAAGGAAATTACTGGAAAGTAATTGAAACTCACCTGAAGCGAGCTGAATGTGTAATGCTCCTCATGCCAATGACACTTCCACCAAGCTTCCCTACGGCATATGACTTCACTGAATTTTGATGTGTTCCTCTTGAAATTCTTCTTGAGAATTGACAACATAAATAATAAACAATTTATTTATTAGATTGTTTATTTATACTATTATTTATTGGAATGGTTGGTAAAACATTGGTTAATTGCCGATTCAAACTTTATAAAATGGTCAATAATAAGGATTTCCTTATAGTTGCTTCACATATTTTAATAATTTAGTAAAATTCTCTGTGCTGTGTCTCTTCAGGATGTGGGCATTCGTAGCTCTCCACAACTTCCTATCTTTTTTTGTTTTTTCATCCCTCCCAGACCCTGTTATGTCATCCATTTACATTTGAAGGGAAGTTATTTTCTTCTTTCTGAAACTTTGTACAGACACTAAACTTAGGATTAACCAGAATTGGGCAAACAGTTATCCATTGAAAGTTTATCATATTTAAATGATTTGACAACACAGTACTACAGTAATTATAAATTAGACACTCTGCAAAGAGCAGTATTTATTTATTTTGTTATCCTAATGCAATGGTTTTATTTGTCCATAAGATTACTCTGATTCAACTTGCAAAACCATCCAAATTAAACCATATCTCAAAAAAACAAAAGAAAAGTTGATATATTTAAAAAGAACTTTTTTAGTTTTTTTTTAAGTTTTAGATGAACTATTATATGGTGAATTTATAAAGCTTTTTATCACAACACTGGGCTGATAAACTTTTGGGCTGCTAGATTAAACTGTAAAAATAAAAAATAAATTGTTATGGTGATTTTCAAGAAAGATACACTTCCAAGGAGTGGGATGCAAATTCATGTTGACTTAAAAAGTACTTGACTTTATTTCTGATTTTTGTGTTGTTTGCTTGTCTGATCAACAAGTTTACTGATCTCGAGGAGCGTTTCTCAACATTTTATCCTTGTGGAATTGTTAAAATAGTTTTCACATCTCAGGGAACCATTGCATAAAAATTATTATATAATTTTAAATAATATAAGAGGTTGAAGCCTTTATCATAATAACCAAGGATTTTCCAACAATATGCTGTACATGATTAGTAACATTATGAATATAGAATTAAACCAAAATTACTGAAAAATGTATTAGCCTATTTATCACTGTTTCTCGTTGAACTCTTAGCAACTTCTTGAAAATCTGAGACTTCCAGGAACACCAGTTGAGAATCACTGACTGTTGTGATAAAAAGTAACAATGCTAAGATGGAGTAAAATGAGTAATAAAATAAAAGTAATAATAAAGAGTGTATTAATACAGAATATGATAAAAGCAATAGTAATAATACTGAGTAAATCTAGTAATAAAATAATAAATTCTGCTTGTCCCTCTCATAGTTAGCATGACCGTTACACTCTGCCAACACCTCATAAATAATGAACTATTCCATTTTGATTGCCTGGAAAAATGGAAAAGTCACATCAGGGACACTATTTGGTTTCAGTCAGGAAATCAAAGAAAGAAGGGAAGACAGAAGAGTTTAATGTCTCCTGACAATATCTCATAAGTTATGGACTATTCTGTTTCAATGGTGTGGAGAGACAGAAAAGGCATATCGGAGACACTATTTGGTTTCAGTCAGGAAATCAAAGAAATAAAAGATATTGATTGATTGATTTGTTTTCTACTACTTATCAACCCTTTGCAGGTCATTTAAAGCCAGGAAATACTTTTAGATTGTAAGAATTTTTTTCGAGATAGTAAGGTTTTAGTCATATAAGTCTTACTAATTAACCTATAGCTGGGGTAGAAGAGGTGGATTCATACCTTTTGTAAGAGTATTTGCACATGTCAATATCACAAATCCAATGAGGATTGAAACTCAGCTCTCTGATTAACAATTCTGAGCCATTATCCATTACACCATCTGCACACCCAAGCTTACAGCACCTGGTATTCCCAAGAGGTCACTCATCTAAGTACTGACCAGGCTGAACATTGCTTAACTTTGGTGATCATATGGTAACTGGTGTTTCAATGTGACATGGCTGTAACCTAAAAGGGAGGATAGTGTTTATCATCTGTTTCCTTGAAATTTTAAATCTTTTCATTTGTACCCACTTAAAATAGCAACCAGCATTCTATATATTTATCATTGCTATTACAATGTTTAAAGTTGTTAAGCTCAAATATTTAATGATACAATAGAGTAATCTCACTGAATATATTATTATCGTAGAACTTGCCATGAGTTTATTCAATCATTAACTAAAGAATTAAGATTCATATGAAAATTCAAATAGGAAGACTGAAATTTTTACAGTATTTATAGTAAAATAATATTACTAATTGGTCTAGTGAGTTGTAGTAAAAAGCAACAATAAGATGGAATGAAATGTATAATAAAATGATGAGTGTTTTTTGTTTAGTTCTTTGAACTATTTATATAAAAACTAACCGACACCAATTTACTTAGTTTTGTGCTGATTTCAATTCAAAATCAAGACAACTATGACTAATTCACAGAATAAAGTCTAATACTTACAACTAATCTCCATCATGCTGACTGCATCTCTCGGTTCAGTGGCTTTTATTATAATTGCTGAGATCTGAGTCAACACATCAAGTGCAGGTGAGGTCTGGTATCTAAATAAAAGTAAACGTTTTTGTACTTACCATGAATTGTAACACTTCCGAAATGCAATGATTATACTGTCAGTAAGTTACCGTTACACCTCACCTGGTTCTATTAATGGCTTTTACCTGCTGATATGCATCACATGGGTAAAATACTTTTAGTCTCCACCATGGAAAATACTGAAATACTTTTCTATTTTAACTGAAAGTGTAATGATCTTTCTAGACATTTCTATTCATTTATAATATTTTTATATTTTCCTATAATTTTTTTAAGAAGAATTGATTGATTGATCCATTTTCTACTGCTTAACAACCCTTTGTAGGTTATTTAAAGCCAGGAAATACTTTTAGCTTGTAAGAATTGTTTGTTTTTTTTTGTTTTTTTTTAAATAATAATTATTTAGTGATACAAGTCTTACTAATTAACCCATAGCTGGAGGGAGAAGCGGTAGATTCATACCATTCTCAAGGGTATTTACTCATAAGTGAATATAAGAATATTGACTGGAATTGGAACTTGACTCTCTGATTTCAAATTCTGAGCCATTATCCATTACACCAACTGCACATCCTGTTACTTCTGTAATTGATTGTTACATGACTGAGTGGTCAGAATATTAGTGTCATGACCATGAGACTTGAGTTCAAATCTGACCATAGTTGATTTGTCAAGGAGGTGACTTTATTGAAACTTGGCTCTCTGATTAACAATTTCAAACTATTATCCATTACACCACCCGCACATCCAAGCTTACAGCACCTTATATTCACAAGTGGTCACCAATCATGGTACTGACCAGACTCAACTTTTCTTCGGTGATCATACAGGAACCAGTGTTTTTATGTGATATGGCCATAAGTTCTTTTCAAGAAAATCATTTATTTATTATTAAACAATAAAATTTTTAACAGTTTATAAAATGAAACACCATAGACTAATATGATGGATTAATCATCTTTTCAAAAACATTTATATCTGTTATATTTGGTGGTGGAACAGGGATATTTGAGTTCATGCTTTTTCAATAACATTACTGTGAAGGAATCAGAATTTAACAAAGGTTATATAATCCTCATTGATAAAATTGTTACCATAGATTTCAATTTATTTATTAAAAATTCAAACTTGATTCTATATCAGCACAAAGGGAACCAAACCTGTTTGACTCTAACCATCCTATATTACTTTATATTAATAACAACTGAGCACTAACATATTACTTTATATTAATAACAACTGAGCACTAACATATTACTTTATATTAATAATGACTGAACACTAACATATTACTTTATATTAATAATGACTGAACACTAACATATTACTTTATATTAATAACAACTGAGCACTAACATATTACTTTATATTAATAATGACTGAACACTAACATATTACTTTATATTAATACTGAACATAACATAATTTTATATTGAACACTAACATATTTATATCAATAATGGCGAACACTAACATATTACTTTATATTAATAATGACTGAACACTAACATATTACTTTATATTAATGATGACTGAGCACTAACATATTACTTTATATCAATAATGGCGAACACTAACATATTACTTTATATTAATAATGACTGAGCACTAACATATTACTTTATATCAATAATGGCGAACACTAACATATTACTTTATATTAATAATGACTGAGCACTAACATATTACTTTATATAAATAATGATTGAGCACTAACATATTAATAACCCTTATTTTACTGACTCATTGCTAATTTAGATGTCAGTATTCACTCTCATCCTTTGAAAATTATTCTTGTTAATTTGCCCTCATTATAAACAAAGAATTGAAAGCTTGCTGTATTTTGATCAGTATGCACGTATATTTGTAAAATCTGTGGTTTCAAGAAATATGAAATCTCATGAAAAGCTTGTGTTCCTTTGTTTCACCTAAGAATTTTTATTTTTCTCATCATTTTACAGGTAGCATACTGACAAGTAGCATGGAGGTTGGTGGCATTGTAGGCTCGTTAACAGCTGGTTACCTGTCTGACAAGGCCCATTCAATGGTAAGACCCATTTGCTTTACACCTGGCCATTCTCATGTCATTCAGAAGAATTAATGCGCTATAATTGGTGAATATGGTTATTAAAATAACAAAGCATTCACAGATATAAATAGCATCTCTCCAGCAACTATCTCAACTTATTGCTTTTACTACCACTGTGAACATTGCTACTAATACTACTACTATTACTATTTTTATTAAATAATACCTGAATTTGCCTTGTAGCTAAGATAGTTTCAAATTTCTCACTGATGACAGTTTTTGGTATTCAAGCCAGCATTTATAAAAATTAGTAATGATACATTTACAAAAGAAATGACTATTATGTTGAGTGACTCTTATTTATTTTTTTCAGTATTTTTGTTTCTTATTTTTAGGAAAGTCAACTAATGCATGTTGATGCTAATTTTTAAAACTATCCACTTTTTAAAACAAATTGAATGAAAGGTTTATATATTTGTTTTTTTTTTTCAATTTCAAAACCTTTTCTCTTATTCTGTTATGATTTTCCAAATCTATTAACTTTCAGAAATTCTTAAAAAAAATCCTTGGTATTTTCTTAATTTTATTTTTAATTTTTTTACAATTTAAGATTTTTTTTTAACTGCAAATTAATCATTTAATTTACAGTTGACATATGAAAAAAATTCTTTCTGGTCATTTTTCTATTAGATATTTATGCAACTTGATATCATGGGTAGGATTTATCAAACAAATATATCAAAACTTTTATTCTAATAAATGTAAGATAAAAAATGCCAAAATGTTTATAGTACAGATATAGAGAATATGATTTAAAACAGTTGATAATTTAATTCTTATCTGTTTTCTGCTTGGAAACTTATCAAAATATTAACTTCAGAAGCATGCCTTGGGAGTAGAAAGGGAATCTTTTTTTCCTATCACCCTTCACAGAAGAATTTGTAATAGCTCACTCTTAGTGAGTGTTAATTTCCAATATATTTTATAACATAAAACACAATGTGATTTTATATGTTTATTGTTCACACTACTAAGCTCTTCTTTTTAGTAATGAGATATTCTGTTGTTATAGTAAGTCAATGTGCTAATGTGAACATGTCTCATGTTAACAAAAGAATATCTCAATAGTTGGGGAGATCAGACTGTTAATACATTGATTTTTATTTCTTTGGTTTCCTGCTAACTTTCTTTAAATATTTTTATTTTTAAAATACAAAATTTTTTCTTGCCTGTAACAATAGTATTATTCATACAAATAAAAATCCCAGAGTAATCATACAGAAAATACAGGGTGTGGCAGAGATACCACCCACATAATGATAAAACATTAGTTAGATGAAAACACCAGTGACACTAATGTCTTAACATTATGAGAGAGTTATTTCTGTCACACCCTGTATAAAACATTTGTGTCAGGATTTAGGAGTTTATAATGAGGTGTTATTAAAAAAGAGAAATTCCATGATGGTTTCTTTGATCAAAAGCCATCTGGAGAAATTTGGAGGACACAATGGCCAAAACATTGTGATAATAATAACAAAGATAAGGACATTAGTCTGAATGTAAATAATAACCAATACAATTACAACATTCTTTTTAAAATTTTCCCATAATTTTTGGATGGTACAAGTAGACTAGTATATCAATAATTCAAGAAGAGTAGTAGTACACTATTCAACCTATGAATACTGTTAATAAACCTATGAAAGAAGGAAAAATTATGATAGTAATATGAGCTCTTAAAAGTGGAAGTTTGCCATGTGGCTATAACCTCAAACTCTGACTACTAGAGTAATCCTGGTTTGAATCCTGGTCATCACACCAAATGTAAAGAAATCTGATGGCCCTACAACAAATGTAATATAAACTCAGCTTAAAATGAACTCGTGAAAAATACACACATACAGACAAATCACATTAAGTCCTAACAAGCAATCCTTCTGTTTGCATAAGGATAGGTGACATTAGTGTTCCATTATATCTGGATTGGCAATATCAGAATATCTTGTTAAAAATTGGGAATGTGCATCATCTTTCCATGAGGATGTTTTGAGCAGTTCACATTCTGACTATCACTTGAAAGTTCTTGAGACAATTTATATTAAATCAAGGCAATTATTCTTATACAAACAAAAGGATTAGGTATTAGGACTTAATGTTATCAGTCTATATATATATATATATATATATATATATAATAATATTATAAATTAACTGATTTAAAATATGATTCCATTTTAAACACAGGAAATACCATGTTTCAAAAATAAAATAAAATCTTCAAAATTTAGTTTCTGTTTTTTGAAACATGGTATTTTGTTGAACAGGAACCATATTTTTAAATCAGTTAATTTATAATATTTATACTACGTAAATTTGCATTGA